TTTCTTTCTTTCTTTCTTTCTTTCTTTCTTTCTTTCTTTCTTTCTTTGAAACAGTTCAGTCTCAATCAAACAGCTGTGGATTTACCAGTAAGGGTTTATTTCTAATAATTCCCATCTTATTGTCTTGAGTGTTGTCATTTTCAATCATCCGGAATTGATTATGAATGTAGGAGTAAATGCTGGCATGTTGTGTGGTGGTGTTACTAAGCATAATGATTTCCATATAGAAGTAACATTTAAGATAGTTTAATATTACTAGCTTAAGAGTCAAGAAAAAAAGTCAAAATTCCTGCTCAGTTCAAATGTCAGTCAATTATACTTTTTTTGTTTTTCATTTTTTTTCTTGTATTAAAATGGGAGGATGTTTCAATTCTATTGGAGAGACAATTGGAATAAAAGAGATTGAAAGTACTTTGCATAAAGAAATGCCAATTCTGAAGATATGGATTAGGATTCAAAATGTTGGTCAAATTGTACTCAGAAGGCATTTGAATGGTGGGGAATGTTTCACAAAAATAAACAAAAACTTAGAACTTGTTCAGTATGAAGCAAAAAATAGTCCAATGAAATCCAATGGGCTCATTTCTGACTAAAGGTTAAGGATTTCCCTCCGATTTCCTTGACATTTAGTATTTAAAACGTCTAAAATTTGTAAAATAACAATACCAATATAAAATGAAATGATGCATATATGAATCGTCTAAATAGATCTTATATTTTCCTTTTAGGTATTCTGGAAATAACTGCGGTGGACATTGGGATTGTTGCTATCAAAGGCTGTTTTTCAGGCAGATACCTGGCCATGAACAAAAGAGGCCGACTTTATGCTTCAGTAAGTACTATTTAAAACAGGCATCTTAACTATGGCAAGCTAGCTGAAGCATCCTCCAAGTAGAGTGCCCATCATTTTCAATGGGGATTTAAACTCCATTGTAGTCAAAAGGGCAGAAATACTAGGTGCCTATGGAGGAACATTTGTAAAGAACAAAAATATGTGCTTTGGTTTTATTTGGGGGATTAAGCAGCCAATACTTAGAATCTTTTAGCTGAAACATGACTGCAAGCATGAGGCACACTCATTCACTTTTCATGTGTGCAGCAGGATAGGAATTCAAATAATCCTACTTACACACTAAAAACAAAACATTTATGGTTTGAGGACCTCTGGTTTAGGGATTGTAAACAACTGGTTCAGGTAAGGAAATCATCAAGGAGTTGTAGAACTGATGATGTGACAAGGAAACTTTTCAAAAAAGCAGAGCAAACTCTGCATAAGAGTCCCATTTGCAAAAACGTTTTTAGAACACACATAACTGGAATTTAATGGCAGAAATTTAAGTGCCAGAGGCACTTACAGATTGAATGAATGTGTCAATCATTCTGCAAATCCCTGGATTGCAAAGACATTGCTGTGAAGGTACCTTGGAACAGGCTGAAAATCTATTCTTTACTATCCCGTAATAAGATTAATATAGAATTGTATTTAACCAAGCCTTCATGCATGCAGAACAGGAGCATTTTCTGTCATAAACCTTGCATAATTTGTTCCTTGGATATTCAATTGTTTTCTCTCTTTTTGTCCTCTGTCTTAAAAAAAAGAAATATAGGAACAATAGCATCAGTTAAGGTGATTGAGAGAAATTATTATTTTTAATTTACTATGTAGACTTATATTCTACCTTGCCTAACATAGCACTAGAATACTTTTATTACTCCTCTTGACACTGGCATCAAATAGTTTTTCTTTCCAGGTGAGATGTTCAAATAGATAGATGAGCTAGTTAAAGCCATTATCAATTAGTTATGGAGATCAAATCAAAGTAGTGAAATAAATGATCTATTGAAAGACAGTTACCTCAAAATCCACCTAATCTTAACAAAAACATGGATTCTCTAAATAGTTAATAAGGAATAAATATGTTCCTTTGGTGTGTTTTCTAAGGTGGAAATTAAGAGCCCAGATTTATTAATAGGTCACAATTTCTATAAAGAATATAAAGAATTGTATTCTATTCCGGATTTTATTTAAGTGTTACAAATTGTAGAAAGTGAGCTATGTGTCCTTGACTGAGATATATCCAGGAGCCATTGCCAGACAAAAGGGGGCTAAAACATTTTTTTAAGCTCACAAGGTAGCATTTTGAAGCAGCTCATGCAGAAGCCTCTCTAATTCACTGATGTATAAGAAGGAGGAAGAGGTAAGTACTACCAGACTTTTATGATTCTATTATTAAAGGTAGTCCTTGATTGTTTAGTGACTGTTCAAAGATCTGACTATTGGAAGAAACAGCTTTGTAACCAATCCTTGGGTTTATGGCCATTGCACTATCTATGATCATGTGATTGCTATCTGGGTGCTTTTATGATTTTACCAGCATGCATTTATGACTGTTGCCAGAATGGGACAACTCAGTGTGGCCAACTCAGCATGGCTAGCTTGCTACCATCAAGTTACCTCTGGCAAATCACCACTGCCAAGTTGTCAAAAGACAACTCAACACAGCCAATTTGCCATGGGGACAACTTGCTGCAGGCAGCCAGAGGGAGACCCAGGCGGGCAGGCAAGTGGGTAGTCAGCGCACAGAGTGGTGGTGGTGCCCAAGGGCTTCCAATTTTCACACACACACCCTGTTGCTGCTGCCATTGTGGGCTGTTTGTTGGCAGTGGCAGTGTTTGGGCTGTTCAGTGTTAGCAACAGTTGGTGGGGAGGGTGGGGAGGAGATGATGGAGGCTGGGTGTGTCCCATTTTCACACTCACCTCTGTCACTGCCATGCAAAGTTCCCATTTAGCATGGTGGAGGCAGCAGAGTGTGTGAAAATGGAAAGCCCCTGGCTGCCACCAGCCACTCTGTGCTCTGCCCACCTGTTCAATTGTCCCCCTGTCCCACTCTCCCTCTCTGGGAAGCCACTGGCTGCCACCAGCCACCAGCCACTCTATGCTCTGCCTGCTCACTCACCTGCCTGGCTTTCCCTCCATCTTTGTGGTGAATTGGCCCTGTTGAGTTGTCCTGCAGCGGTGCTTTGGTGATTTGGCAGAGGCGACTTGGTGGTGCCAAGCTGGCTGTGCCAAGTTGTCCTAGACCTGACTGTTGCAGCCTCCTGAAGTCACATGTTTGCCCTTTGCAAGTTTCACAACTGGCTTCCAACAAGCATAACTAAAGGATAACATGGAAGAGAAGTTGCAAGTCACAGCGATAAGATGTCTTGCTTAATGATTGTGATGATTTGTTTAATGGCAAAAAATAGAAGTGTCTTCTTAAGTCTGGTGAAGTCATGTGGTTTTTCTGCTTAGCAACCACAGTTCTTAGTGGTTGTCAGAATTGTCAGTTCCAAGTGTGATACCTATATATCTATATATAGATATATAGGTACCTATATATCTCAGGTATCTAGGTTTCTATCCAATACCTATATATCTCAAAATTTTAGTTTTCCTGTGGAGTTAATTTCCTCATCTGGTGAGAGAAATATCTTACATAGCACCTAAACAAAATTTCTAGTGAAGAATTATCTTACATGATACCTAAACGATGCCCACTGAACACTGGCATCAGAACAGAGTGGAGGCTGGGTGTCAATTCCTGTCATTCCATATAATTTATAGTTTCCCACTTTTGTGATGAAAGAAGAATTAGCCTTCATTAAGGTACAAAGAAAAGGATTCCACTCATCAGACAAATGATAGTAAGCAAAATTTCGCCTCCAAAAGTTACATCATAACATTAATTAAAAAAAAAGAACGTTTTTGGCCTAAGCATCATGACTCTGTGAACTGCTTGTGTGAACTCACACAACTCCAAACACAGAAGAAAGTATTGAACATCTTTATAGGTGCAAATCTTTATAATATAACCAACTGTCCTGTACATGGGAATATTTTTCTTTGAAATACTGACATGATTGTGACTTTTAGGAGCACAGGTAAGCTCAGTGCTTCCTGGCTCATCACTATAACCCAGTGTTTCTCAGCCTCACAAACTTTAAGGTGTGTGGACTTTAACTCCCAGAATTTGTCAGCCAGCATTCTTGAGCATGAGAAATACTGGTAAAGCCCAGGGGTGGGATTCAAATTTTTTAACAACTGGTTCTGTGGGCGTGGCTTAGTTGGTGGGCATGGCTTGGGGGTCATGTGACTGGCTGGGTGTGGCCAACTCAATATCACTCACATCGAGGCATGCATCTCCTCGCCTGGCCTCTCATGACTGTAGGGATGCTGCAACAGTCATAAATGTGAAAAACGGCCATAAGTAACTTTTTTCAGTGCCATGGTCACTCCACACAAGCAAAGTACCAGCAAAGGAGGAAAAAAAACTCCAGAGAAGTTCCAGAGACAGGAAGTCTAGTCCTGCCAAGAATGTAGTAAGAGTTAATGGAGAGGCAGTTTCTGTAAGCAACACCAGAATGTTTCCTTCCTGCCTTCCTTACAGGATTAGGCTAGTACTTTCTTCTAACAACCAGTTCTCCGAACTGCTTAGAATGTTAACAACTGATTCTAGAGAATAGGTGCGAACCTGTAGAATTCCACCCCCAGTAAAGCCCTTCCTCAATACTGGAATAGGATTCTATTTCTAGATTTTATAGAACTATTGCAGACATGAGGCCTCTGACAGAAAGACCTATTTATAAATATCTGCTGCTGGGTTTCTAGATTCTAGACCTTTCCCTCCTGCCTTTTAAATCTATTAGAAATTTGGCTGTGGAGACAGGGAAGCAGCTGCTTATTATTTATATAATAATTTGGAACTGGTGGGTCTTAATTCCTTATGCCATCTCCCTCCTGACTTTTTTCCCTTTAATTCCCCTTTGTTTTCAAAATATCACATGATTTGATGCTGATTCCATCCTGATTCTGCTTCAGGGGTGGGATTCTACCAGTTCGCACCTATTCGCTAGAACTGGTTGTTAACATTCTAAGCAGTTCAGAGAACCGGTTGTTAGAAGAAATTACTGGCCTGATCCTGTAAGGAAGGCAGGAAGGAAACATTCTGGTGTTGCTTACAGAAACTGCCTCTCCGTTAACCCTTACTACATTCTTGGCAGGACTAGATTTCCTGTCTCAGGAATGTCTCTGGAGTTTTTTTCCCCTCCTTTGTTGGTACTTTACTTGTGTGGAGTGACCATTCAAAGTTACAGTGGCATTGAAAAAAAGTGATTTATTACCATTTTTCACACTTACAACTGTTGCAACATCCCCACAGTCATGAGAGGCCAGGCGAGGAGACGCGTGCCTCGATGTGAGTGATATTGAGTTGGCCACACCCAGCCAATAACATGATCACCAAGCCATGCCCACCAACCAAGCCATACCCACAGAACTGGTTGTTAAAAAATTGAATCCCACCCCTGTTCTGCTTGTATTGTAATCTTTTTATTTCCATTTCTTTTCTGAAGCTTTCCTAGTGGCTCTCTTCTCCTAACTGAAATATTAGGAAGGACAGATCTCCTTCTGCTGTAATAGATGAGGTCTCCCTTCCTGTTCTCTCAACTTTTTCTTCTCTTAATAACAGATAACAGATAATCAGAGTTGGAAGGGACCTTGTAGATCATCTTGTCCAACCCCACCGCCCAAGCGGGAGACCCTACACCATTTCTGACAGATGGCAGTCCAATCTCTTCTTGAAAGTCTCAAGTGATGGCGCTCCCACAACTTCCGAGGGCAAGCTGTTCCATTGGTTGATTGTTCTCACTGTCAGAAAGTTTCTCTTTATTTCCAGGTTGAATCTCTCCTTGTTCAGTTTCTATCCATTATTCCTTGTCTGGTCTACAGGAGCTTCAGAAAATAGCTTGACCCCTTCCTCCCTGTGGCAGCCCCTCAAATATTGGAAGACCGCT